CGAGTGCAGATTTTTATAGGGGCAGACATTAAGTTCCAAAGCACACTTGAATATCCACCAGTAGAAGCTCCATTCTTGCACTTCTAAGATCTTGATTTGTCCGACCTCTTCTCTCTTCAACACTTTTGAAAATGTCTGGCCCCTCCGACCGTCGTTTTGACTTGAACCTTGTTGAAGAGGTAGCCCCGCCTTCTCCAGACAACATATGGCGCCCATCCTTCGTCTCCCCTACTGGTCCTCTTACCGTTGGGGATTCCGTGATGAAGAATGATATGACCGCTGCGGTAGTGGCCAGGAACCTTCTCACTCCCAAAGATAAACAGACTACTTTCCAAACGGTCTGATGAGTTGGCTGTTAAGGATTCTCTGGCTCTTAGTGTTCAGTGTGCAGGTTCTGTGTCTAATATAGCCCAACGCCTATTTGCTCGAACCCGCCAAGTTGAATCATTGGCAGCTGAAGTGATGAGTCTCAAACAGGAGATTAGAGGGCTCAAGCATGAGAATAAACAGTTGCACCGGCTCGCACATGACTATGCTACAAACATGAAGAGGAAGCTTGACCAGATGAAAGAATCTGATGGTCAGGTTTTACTTGATCATCAAAGATTTGTGGGTTTGTTCCAAAGGCATTTTATTGCCTTCGTCTTCTGGGGCTGTACCGCGTAATGAAGCTCCAAATGATCAACCTCTGATGCCTCCTCCTTTTAGGGTTCTGTCCAGTACTGAGGCTCCGAATCATCCCCCTCCGATGCCTTCTCTTTCTGGGGCTCTACCGACTGCTGAGACTTCTCCTAAGCAACCTTTGTGAAGGCTCCCTCTTGTTTGTTTATTTTGACTCAAGTATATGTACATATTTGTAACTTATCGGGGATATCAATAAATAAGCTTTCCTTCATTTCAACGTATTGTGTTAAATACACCAAAGCCTTCTTCGCTAAGTTCTTTGAATTTTCTTTTGTTGAAGCTTGTATGTTGAAGCTTTGTGAGTGGAGCATATAGGTTGAGGTAGTGTTCCCTTAATTTCCCGAGTGAGGAAAACTTCTCGGTTGGAGACTTGGAAAATCCAAGTCACTGAGTGGGATCGGCTATATGGATCTTAGAACGCCATTGTGTTCTGTCATGTGTTATGTCCTCCGTTAGATCCAAGTACTCTAAGTCTTTTCTTAGGGTCTCTTCCAAAGTTTTCCTAGGTCTTCCTCTACCCCTTCGGCCCTGAACCTCTGTCCCATAGTCGCATCTTCTAATCGGAGCGTCAGTAGGCCTTCTTTGCACATGTCCAAACCACCGTAACCGATTTTTCTCTCATCTTTCCTTCAATTTCGGCTACTCCTACTTTACCCCGGATATCCTCATTCCTAATCTTATCCTTTCTCGTGTGCCCACACATCCAACGAAGCATCCTCATCTCCGCTACACCCATTTTGTGTACGTGTTGATGCTTCACCGCCCAACATTCTGTGTGCCATACAGCATCGCCGGCCTTATTGCCGTCCTATAAAATTTTCCCTTGAGCTTCAGTGGCATACGGCGGTCACACAACACGCCGGATGCACTCTTCCACTTCATCCATCCCCAGCTTGTATTCTATGGTTGAGATCTCCATCTAATTCTCCATTCTTTTGCAAGATAGATCCTAGGTAACGAAAACGGTCGCTCTTTGGTATTTCTTGATCTCCGATCCTCACCCCTAACTCGTTTTGGCCTCCATTTGCACTGAACTTGCACTCCATATATTCTGTCTTTGATCGGCTTAGGCGAAGACCTTTAGATTCCAACACTTCTCTCCAAAGGTTAAGCTTTGCATTTACCCCTTCCTGAGTTTCATCTATCAACACTATATCGTCTGCGAAAAGCATACACCAAGGAATATCATCTTGAATATGTCCTGTTAACTCATCCATTACCAACGCAAAAAGGTAAGGAGTTAAGGATGAGCCTTGATGTAATCCTACAGTTATGGGGAAGCTTTCGGTTTGTCCTTCATGAGTTCTTACGGCAGTCTTTGCTCCTTCATACATATCCTATATAGCTTGGATATATGCTACTCGTACTCCTTTCTTCTCTAAAATCCTCCAAAGAATGTCTCTTGGGACCCTATCATACGCTTTTTCCAAATCTATAAAGACCATGTGTAAATCCTTTTTCCCATCTCTATATCTTTCCATCAATCTTCGTAAGAGATAGATTGCCTCCATGGTTGAGCGCCCTGGCATGAACCCGAATTGGTTGTCTGAAACCCGTGTCTCTTGCCTCAATCTATGCTCAATGACTCTCTCCCAGAGCTTCATTGTATGACTCATTAGCTTAATACCCCTATAGTTCATGCAATTTTGTACATCGCCCTTATTCTTGTAGATAGGCACCAAAGTGCTCGTTCGCCACTCATTTGGCATCTTCTTCGTTTTCAAAATCCTATTGAAAAGGTCAGTGAGCCATGTTATACCTGTCTCTCCCAAAACTTTCCACACTTCGATTGGTATATCGTCTGGGCCTACTGCTTTTCTATGCTTCATCTTCTTCAAAGCTACAACCACTTCTTCCTTCCGGATTCTACGATAAAAAGAGTAGTTTCTACACTCTTCTGAGTTACTCAACTCCCCTAAAGAAGCACTCCTTTCATGTCCTTCATTGAAAAGATTATGAAAATAACCTTTCCATCTGTCTTTAACCGCGTTCTCTGTAGCAAGAACCTTTCCATCCTCATCCTTGATGCACCTCACTTGGTTTAGGTCCCTTGTCTTCTTTTCCCTTGCTCTAGCTAGTTTATAGATATCCAACTCTCCTTCTTTGGTATCTAGTCGCTTATACATATCGTCATAAGCCGCTAACTTAGCTTCTCTCACAGCTTTCTTCGCCTCTTGCTTCGCTTTTCTATACCTTTCACCATTTTCATCGGTCCTATCCTTGTATAAGGCTTTACAACATTCCTTCTTAGCCTTCACCTTTGTTTGTACCTCCTCATTCCACCACCAAGATTCCTTTTGGTGTGGGGCAAAGCCCTTGGACTCTCCTAATACCTCTTTTGCTACTTTTCGGATACAACTAGCCATGGAATCCCACATTTTTGGTTAGCTTCCCCCTCTCTATCCCACACACACTGGGGTGATTACTTTATCTTTGAAAATGGCTTGTTTTTGTTCTTTTAGATTCCACCATCTAGTCCTTGGGCACTTCCAAGTCTTGTTCTTTTTTCTCACTCGTTTGATATGTACATCCATCACCAACAAGCGATGTTGATTAGCCATGCTCTCTCCTGGTATAACTTTGCAATCCTTACAAGTTATACGATCCCCTTTCCTCATTAGAAGAAAATCTATTTGTGTTTTTGACGACCCACTCTTGTAGGTGATCACATGTTCTTCTCTCTTCTTAAAGAAGGTGTTGGCTAAAAAGAGATCATATGCCATTGCAAAATCCAAGATAGCTTCCCCATCCTCGTTTCTCTCCCCAAAACCATGGCCACCATGAAAACCTCCATAGTTGCCTGTCTCCCTGCCCACGTGTCCATTTAAATCTCCTCCTATAAATAACTTCTCCGTCTGAGCAATTCCTTGCACCAAGTCTCCAAGGTCTTCCCAAAATTTCTCCTTCGAACTCGTATCCAACCCTACTTGAGGTGCGTACGCACTAATCACATTGATAAGTTCTTGTCCTATTACAATCTTGATTGCCATGATTCTATCTCCTACCCTCTTAACATCTACAACATCTTGTGTCAAGGTCTTGTCCACGATGATGCCAACACCGTTTTCTCGTTCTATTTGTGCCCGAATACCATAGTTTAAACCCTGAGTTTTCTAGATCCTTTGCCTTACACCCAACCCACTTAGTTTCTTGTAGGCACATAATATTTATCCTTCTCCTCACCATAACTTCTACTACTTCCATAGATTTTCCCGTCAAGGTTCCTATATTCCACGTTCCTAAACGCATTTTGCTCTCTTGAACTCTACCCTTCTGTCCTAGCTTCTTCACCCTTCCCCGTCTAATAGGATCAAAGTACTTCTTTTTGTGTGTCCCGTGTAAAGTTGATAGGAGCATATGCTCCCAAACAACTTTGAGTGGAGTCGTTCGAAAAGAAGTTTCTATAGCCCCCTTGCTCATTTAACACTGCATCCGGGTGCCGATGGAGATACAGCGACCCTTGCTCACTTATCACTGTGCTCAGACCACACAGCGCGCCACTTACGGGTGACGCCCTAGCTTTAGCGCGATTTCGTTCTGGATTCATTTTCATAAGGATTCGACGTGATCATGGAGTGCCGGCTGTCGACTACCTGACGCCCTCCCCCTCCTCCTTTATCCGGGCTTGGGACCGGCAATGTAAGATAAACTTACACGGCGGAGTTAAAGTTACACAATCTTAAAGATTGATAAATTCCTAAAACATTGTGTAGAGATTTATGTTCACGTGCATGCCTATGAAAGAAGCCACTTATTACATCAAACCTTAATAACCCAAAAAATTAAAAGTGATGATATTCTATAACATCTAAGCATGTAACACACACACTTCTCTCTTGCGAATTCTAAGATGCAAATTAGATACAGAGTTCTGTTATATTCAGATTTAACCTGCAAATTTAAGTGACCAAAAAAAGTACATCCGAGTAACGAGATGAAAACTGGAACCACTTTGTAGCAACAGAAAACAGTTCACTCTTTTACCCAAACCCGGCAATAAGTTTGGGTTCAAGCTTCAGAAAAGACAGATTTTGATCAAGCTGCCTTTAAGTTTCTTAAGGTTAAACTTTCTAATTTTGGTCGGAAGGTGACTGAATGAAGGTTTCCTAGGAGTGCTGTAACAAAATAAACCCATCCAAGACATGCAGGCACCAATAGATGCAAACAACTGGGTATTCAAAGCAAGTTTGCCTGGAAGGTGACCTGATGAATATGTTGATGTTAGAGCCTCTTGGGAGGGCTAAATCCTATGCTATTCCCCTCTTCTCCCCTTCTTACATGATTACCTTAAAAAAAACGAAAAACAAAAATTAAAGAAATGTGAGAAGCTCGGTAAGCAGATCAGTCGACAGAGAGAAATCTCACAACAGCCGGGCAGTAAACTTCTCAACTATTCGATTGGGCTACAGCGGCTTTGGCAATTCAAGATTAAGGGTACTATGTTGTTTTTCAAACCCTTCCCTTGGTACATGTAGCTTTAAAGTCCTACATATACTTTTTCAAAACAGAAAAACGATATAAACTGTATTCTTTGTTTGATGCACATAGAAGAGGAGAGAAACTTCTACTTTCTAACTTCTAAATGATTCAAACCTACTACTCAAATAAATTCCAAATTAACCACAGCTGAGCTACAAAACATCCAACTCAGACACAAAAGGATTCTTAGCGCCCTACACCACCAATAACTACGTCATAGAATTCATTGATAGACCATCATCCTCAACAGTGGACTAACAGGGAGTAAAAGGCACTATTGACTAATTATTGGGGTAATGAACGAACAAAAAAACCCATAGAGCTTGTTTCTGAAAGGTAACTTCTAAGTAGGGAATACATACATTCATTAATGTATAACAAATTAACAACCTAATTGCTAATTTCCTATTAACCCAAAAAAATTGCAACTTTCCCAAGAATATGTGATTGCATAAACTCATTAACTGGTAATTTACAGCAGCATGCTCTGTAAAGTGTAAATTAGGACTAGGAAAAAAAATACAAGCTGAGATTTTGAAGTACCTGCTGTTGATGACATCAATCTCATGAAGTGTGACACAGTGCACGACCTCCTTGCGCTTCTGCAACTCCCCGTCCGGGCACTTCATAAACTTGACCTGCGGTCCCATAGCATCGTAGTCCCTCGACCTCGAAAATGACCTACCAAGCTTAGTAATCTTCCCAGAAGCTTTATCAATGGCAATCACATCCCCACTTTGCACCTTCTCCTTCCCCAAAGCCTCAATCATCTTGGCGCCCAAGTCGTACACGGTCTCCATCTCCGTTGTCTTCAGCGTCAATTTCCCCGTCTTCGAAGCTGCTCCGGCCACCGCAGGCCGGTCAATTTGAACCTCCACGACCTCGCCCTCGATGATCTCAGTCTCTTCCTTGATTCTAACCCCAATGGCTTTCCTAAAAGCTTGCATTAGGGCTTCGGTCTTCGACATCTCCAGAGAAAAGAGCTCGCTTCCGGCCAACATCGCGAACGGGGTTTCGAGGCCGAGCGACTTCGCCATGCCCATGGCGATGGCGGTCTTGCCGGTTCCGGGCTGACCCGCCAGAAGAACAGCCCGACCCGCGATTTTTCCTTCCTTGATCATCTGGAGAATGACGCCGGCGGCCTTTCGGGCGGAAGTCTGGCCCACCATGCCTTGGGAGACGTCGCGGGCTTCTAGGGCAGAATCGAGGCCGAGGCCGCGGATGTGGGAGTGTGCGCCTATGCGCTCTATTCGGGTCAGGTCTCGACTCTCTGAGAGCTTGAGCTCCGCCATGGCTGAAAAGTGATGGTGGAGTGGAGTGGAGTGGAGCGGAGCGGGGCGGCTTCAAGAGTTTCGTTCAAATTCAAAGGCAGCGGCGTGGAAGAGCGAAGGGGTTTTGTTCCAAAATCTGCACTTTTGACTGTTTATGTCCGAATAAAGGGCTGAGCCCAGGATAGATATATAGGCCGAACAAGGCTTTAATTTGTTTAATTTAATAAATGAGCCCAACTCGCTTTCCAGTTCTCTAAGGAGTAAAGGACCATTTGGTGAGCTGGATGAGACGGATTATAGCTAATTAAAATGGTAATCCAATCTGTTATGTGATGGTGGGTGGTGGCGGCGCTGGTAATGATTTTTGGCAGTGGTTTGCTGTAGCAATGATGATGGTGGTACGTTGTGGAGGCTGAGATGGTGGTGATGATATTGTGTGGTGGTGGAGGTGAAGATGACTGCAGTGATGACGATAGTGGGTGGTGGCAGCAATGACATTAGTGATGATGGTAGGTAGCGGTGGTGGTGTTAGTGCCACCTACCATTGATGTTCATATGTTTAAGCTTCTTGGACGGTCAATGTTTAGTGAATTTTTTCAACAGACAAAAACATGTACATCCACCACGTGTCCATCACGCCTAGCACGAAACCATGCTAACCTTATTGCGATACGAAACCATGTTAACCTTATTGCGATATAGACCGGCCCTTCCAGATAGTCAATGTCTAGTTGACTTCCTAAACGGTTAGGAACTTTGTTTAAGTACTAAGTAACTATGAAATACAAGTCTTCCTGCACTAACCTCGATCAGGACATTGTTTCCATACCTTAAATCATATGGACTCAATCATAGTTTATTATCTCTATAATATAAAACCAAAACTCATGAATGAATTAGTCTGCACTTTATTAATTAATTAATTAATATGGAGTTGTTACATAAGTTTAGACATCAACCTATGTAAAAATAATATGGTATGAATTGATAAAATCATTACAAAACGTCTATATGTTTGCTGACTAAACTACCTTTGGTTTAAATGAATTTTTGAAGAGATAATCTTCATAGAATAATTTATAATATGAACAATTCAACCATAAGCACGATTCTGTGAGTTGAGCACAAGGTGTTTTGAGGAGGAATTCATCCACATCCTTGAGAAGCCAAGCATTCCTCTTTTTTATATTTTATTTTATCTTTTTAATTTTTTTCCCAGTCTTTATGAGGGGCACTTGTCTGAAATTGTGGTCATAACCTAGAGATCAACAGCAACATCACATTAAACTACCAAGACATTCCACGTACATACAATCATACTAACCCTAATATAAGTAAATCCTAGTTTTCTAGAAACTAACAGTGCACTTACTTGCAGTCGTAAACATGGTGTTTGGATCGAGATTTCGACCCTTTTCTCTTGGAAACAACTTGGATCTCTGCTCTCGATAGGGCGAGCATCAACAAGAGAATCCCCTACATCCTTACCCGAGAAAGGGGATCAAAATTGTCTTATAAGCTGCAACTGCTCCACATATCATGGAAGCAGTTGCCGTCGGTTTCTTTCCAGTTTATAATTGTCTCCATTTCATATTTGTACAAATTATATAGTTTTCCCTCTTATAATTAATGTGTATTCAATACGTAATAAGGTCTAATAAAGTCATAATTCCCTTAAGCTTGTTCTTTGATATATCAATTAAATGGTTTTGATGAACTCTCACGTGAAAGTTCTTACATTCTCCCACATGAAAGTGATCATAACTATTCAGTCTTGTATGCAACAAGTAAGAGGTGATCGTTGAAATATGATAAACAGAAAGATTTTTATCTGTACTCAAAGATTCATCAGCCGAACCTTAGACAACATAATCACAAACTAATCAAACCTAATAGAGATTACGTTCTGAGCAAGCTCAGATGAGAAACTCTTTGAACTTAAGCATGACTCCAACATTGTTTGATATAATAATGAGACTGCATATGTCACTCGTTAGCCCATATTTCTACAAGAATTGCAAAACATAAACATGTATTTGATTAGACTTGAGTTTTTACAAATGAATTACATCGTCATGTAAAACAACTTGTGAACATTACAAACACATTTTCTGATCAAAACATATACATAAGACAGTCGAAAATTGCCTCATTCCCCCATTCAAATATGATCCATGATTGCCTGCAATCCCATATTTGGCAAACGTCTTTGAAATGTTGTTACATGTAATGTCTTTATCAATTGATTCGCAACCATGTGATGAGTACCAACTATGGCTTGTCTTTCATGACTTCAATCTTGTGATAAGTCATTGGACATTGTGAAAGAAAAAAACTTATCGCTTTTGGCAATAGTAACATCACCACCACTACAATTCTCCATGTTGAATCCTATAAGAATCATGTCAAAGTAATTCTATTGAGATAACCCCAATGTTCTCTTTATTCTATTTCTCATAATCTCAATACCTAAAACATAATAAACTTCACCCAAATCTTTCATGTCAAAGCTTTTGGACAACATTTGTTTGGCCCCATTCAACAATTACACATTTAATCTTATCAACAATACATGTGACCCAACATATTGAAATTTGCATTACATTTTCGTAAGGATTTGTAAATTCATATGTGAATGACATCGAGCCGTTTTCCGACCAAACAACGGTGAATTAGTTGTTAAGAGAGGTATCATTCTATTCATCTCGTTGATAAGTATGATTTTCATTTTTGAATCACTCGATTTCGTTGAGTTTTGAAGAAGTTATGAACGTTTAAAATTTACCCAGTTTCCGGCGAGTTTTCTTTCCAGCTAAGCAGTCACCTTTCAGGCTATTTTCCGGCCATCTCCAGCAACCATTAGGCTTCCAAATAGGTATAATCTTGTTCTACACTTTCCTATCTTCATTTTGATATATTAAGAAACAATTGAGTTACGAAGCTTTGAAAATTGCCCAAACTTCCGACCAAGAGCTCCGGGACACTTAACGGAGTTTTTAACGGAAAGACCAAAATAATAGATGGTAGACAATCTCAGGGACCATTTTTTTAATTTTCAATCTCAGGGACCAAAGTGATGCGTTATGCAAATCTCATGGACAATTTTGGCTAAAAAGCCATAATTGAATGACATGTATAAAGGAACATTAATTTTTATAATTCTAGTGCGGTTGTGTTCATGCAGTTTTTACAATGTATGTAGGAACTGGGATTGGAACTCGTCTAAATGGTTCAACTCGGTTCTTGAACCTGAGTTGACTATTTTAGGTCAACATGGTTTCTTACGGTTTATTTTGTGTTGGTTCATTTTGGTCGCGGTTCCATAGTTTTTATGCCCACCCCTTAGCAATGGCGAAACCACTAGTTGGTCCCCTTTAAAATAAAAATGAAACCCAAAAATAAAATATAAAAATTAAAACTTGATGGTTAATTAATCATGCACCATTATCCTTTTACTAACAAGTTGAAATTAAGAAAGTGAGGAATTTATGTACCATGAAAGCGTCGCATGCCATGACTGCAAATGATGTGGGTGAAGGCTCAGCAACAAACCACCGACCATCCTTTATTTTCACTTCCAAACCATTCACCTCCTTTTGGTGAAGAATGGATATGAAGGCCTTGTCTGTGTGAGGGGGAAGTCCCACGTTGGTTTCATTCTC